TCCCAATCGCAAAAGTACATTTTCAAACAAGTAATTTTTCCAGAAATACACACTTTTTCCAAAAATCAATCAAGATTGATACATCTGTTTTTTCTCATAAATGTACTCAATTTTCCAAAGGATCTATGAAATTATAATTCTTCTGTAGCCTGATATTCAGTATTTGGCCTCACGTTTGGCTATCTACTAGAATAAAACATTTCTATCGATTTTATCAATGTTTGGCTGGCTAGTGTGACCTTTTGCTGACCCAGGGCCCTGAAGGGTGATGTTGTAAAGTGGCATTTAAGGTTAAGGCTTACGCATTTGGAATAACTGCAGTGACTTCTACCCAATGTGATGTCACCTTTTTATCTGCAGACTTGTCCCATAATAGCCTTGTTTAAAAGCTAGACAACTGATCTGCCCTTTCCCATCTGAGGTCACTGTCATTACGTCTGCATTATTCCACAGTAACTTTCCCATGATTACGCATAGGTCTTCTAAAAAAAAAGCCTTATCTTGGAAATGGCCCGCTCTGAACTTCAAAGCTCGGATCACAGTTGCTGAACCTGTGCGCTCCCTTTTGATGACCCCTAATCCTGGCCCCCGTGTGTCTGCACCTTAGGTGACTTTATAAGACGCACCATCCGCAGCACTCCTCAGAACTGATGTTCCGGAAAGTGGCAACATCAACACAATGTTTGTTTTATTAGCAATATCCTCTATGAGTCTACAGCATAGCATCCACATTTCAAAACAAGCAAATTAAGCTTCTCAAAACTAGCATTGTGGAAATCTGACACACAAAAAAAATCAAGTGTTGGGGAATTTGTTTGTGATGAAGTGAGTGCAATATTTGCTCTTCAGCTTGGGACTGACTGGAGTGTGTTTATGATGAAATAATACATATTCTAAAAGACAGCGCCTACCTGAAACATTAAAACACTAAGAAATTATAATAAGACAAAATCCTCTGGCTTGAGAACAAACAAATGATCACTAAACTCAGCAGAATTTCGTTGAACTTTCAGATGTAATTTTCGGTGAGTATCTCAGCCTCAGGCAGGGTGACAGCTCACCAAGATGACTGACAGGTGTCAGGACAGGAACTCTACCAAGTGGTGGAGTGAAGACGGGATGAACATATAGTATGGCCTCAGGGCCAGAGCGGATTGTGATGAGCAACTTTGAGGTGTTAGTGTTTGGAAAAGTGTTTGGAATTTTGAATCAAACAGTGTTTATTAGATCAAAATGAAATATAGTATTTAAATTATTCCTTCATCAACCACAGGATTTTATCATTCAACAACAAAATCCTATGATGTAATGATAAAAGCTGAGAAGATCAAAATGTGTGTAGAACAAAATGCTTTAATAACATCAGCGACTCAATACAAACAAATGTATGGATATAATTTGTTCTGCAAGAATTCATTGTGTCTTGTAGATCACCGATCGGTTTGTAGTCTACCGATTTGAAGAATTTGAAGAGTTTGTCATTGGTCGAAAAAAATCAGCTCCTATCGTCTTCTCCTATCCACTATTCCTTGACCTCTGTGTGAAACGTCACAGGGTTAAGGAATAGTGGATAGGAGAAATCCAAAGGACTTAGGAGAAGAGACTGCAGTGCTTTGAGAATCCGACTGCACTTACACTATCTGACATATTTATGATGCGCTAGCGGACGTCATGAATACGCTTCTGCTGTGGGGAAACTACAGTTTTCTATACAGCGAATACTGTAAGCGCACCTAGATACTTTGCACCGTGATATCATGGTGTTGTTTTATTCAGGCTTTATGAACTTGGACAACGGTGAATATCTTTCATTTCCAATGTTGGAATTTAAATAAAAAAGGCTACTCTCACTCACAACACGTAATATATTAATCAACATGAATCCCAATACGTATGATTGTATGAAAATATATTTTAATAACTACAATTACATTTTTTTTAAACTTGTTTTTTAAATCTATCCCTGTGTTTATCACCATTCAAACATGTTTAAAAAGAGTTAGGAAACCCCACATAACCCTGTAAATACTATGAAATGTCGACTTTATTTGATCATTTAACAGTAAAAAAGTAACATTTGGCCCACAAGTTAAGCATTTATGTATTGCTGTTGAGTTGAAACATAACTGTATCCAAAAGTTTAAATGTATGCAATGCATGGATGCAATTCACCATATTCTTTAAATGAATAGGCAATCACTATGGCATTTGGTAATGCCACTTTACTCTCATGAACTTTTTTCATACTTCCATCTTACTTTGAAAATCTGCTTTGATTTGTTTTGTATCATATATTTTCACCTAAACCAAAGGAGGCTATGTTTCAATCTGGTTGGTTTGTTTGTATATTCGACAGCTATGCTGGTGTGAATCACAGGGTAAATATATAAATAGTTATTGTTTACTCGTGGAAACGTCCTTGGGTGGGTCTGCTGTCTCCAATAAACTTCCCGTATCCTCATATAATCCGTATGCTGCATTGGAAGAAGAAACACCGACGCCACCTGGTTGTCTCAGGAGATTTTTTGTTTTATCTTTGTAGCAAAAACAACAAATTTGACCACACAAACATATTTTACTGCTCCAGGTAAGAAATGTGCACAGTTGCACAGAAACACACAGCGGAGCAGCTGCTCCTCTTCTATTGCCACACACATTCCAACTGGAGTATGGTACAAAAAAATCCAATATATAGAGACACTGTACACACGCAGTCAATCAGAAATATCACATTCAGACAACACTTGAGTGAGAAATGACTGTTTACACTGGACTGTCTCTGGGTCAGTTCTGCAGAAACATGCAACACCAGACGATAGAAGCAAACAACTTCCTGTTGTTTAGTAGAAATATTCTGGATAATGAACTTGGTTATTAAACCCATATCTCCTCCAGATGGGTTATTACCATCTGTATGGATACTATGAACATTGAAGAGATAAGTATGATATGTATGAAGAGATCACGAAGCAAAGTTAGCCAAATGTTAAGTCATCTGAAAAAAGAGAATCGGTACAGAAAGACTTAAAACACAATCTGTAACTTTTTGAAATATGCAAGTAAGGTTGAGTAGACAAAATGAGAGATTTAGTGAGTATACCAGAATATTTAAAGATACTTTTGGACTCTATGGTTTGCACTTTTACAATAGTCCAGTGGGGTTTGTTTTATAGTGGATACTTACGATATTAAAATAATCGGTAACTTCAGATGTCCACATACAGATTTGATGTCCTGCTGAAAAGGTTGTGATTATTATTACAAGTGCAGATGTCCTGTTTTGGTAGAACCCGTAGATTGTCTTTGTAAACGTGACAGTGAGTGATGAAGAGAAGTGAAGACAACTCACCCAAGTTCAAGGTAATTAATACCTGATGATAGGCTAGCTAGAAATGTTTTGATCATAACTCAGCTTTTTTTGCTTGATTATACAAATTCCTTGCAGCCTGATAGCCAACATATATATATAAGGGCTGTCAAAGTTAATGCGATATACTGTAACATGTAGTTTTGGAAATCAGGCAGCGATGATCGCAGTAAAGTTGCCTTACATTAAATTAACTTATAATTTCTTTGTTTTAGATTGTTGCAATAATAACAAACATAAAGAACAGTAATAATCGTCCACTCCCATGCTGATAAGAGTATTACAAACTAGAAATTATCCCTTTTAGGTACATTTAAATCATATAAAAACAAAAGTGCATTTTATTTGCGATTAATCGCACACTGAAAAAACTGAAACATTGACTTTAATTAAATGTATTATGCCAACAAATTTCACAAAACTGTATTAGTTAGTTGAATGCATCATATTAAGTTGTACCTAATTGTTTTTATTTAAAAGTAATATTATTACTTTCAACTAACCTAATACAGTGAATGAAATCCGTTGACATAATACATTTAATTACAGTAAGTCAACGTTTCAGTTGTTCAGTGTGTCATATTTCAATAATTGACAGCCCTTTATATATATATCGCCATTCAGGCATTTTAATATTTTCATACTACTACTTGTGAAACTGCAGAGATAATTGTTGTCATTTCAATGAACTGGGGGGACTACATTATAAACGATAAAAACCATAGAAAAACTAGTATTATGCTACTGAAGCTAACAAATGTACAAAAACTAAGCAGGCCTAATTGTCTGGGAAAATTCTGCGAGTCAATAATTTGGCATCTTTTAAAAAATGAGTGTTGACAGAGAAAAGCCATAGTGTAGGAGATGATGGGTTTTATAATCTATGCAGTCACATACAACTTTATATGATTGGCATACATAATTATTGAGTGCCCCCTCAAATATATATACTCTGTATAGAAAGTAAATATATTCACATACAGCTTTTTTGAATAAATCTTTTTTCTTAAATCTTCATGAATCAAAGCATTACATCTACGTATATATATATACTTTACCATTTCCCCAGACAAGGGTAAACTGCACAAGTAGGTAACCAAAATGAATTTAGAGAAGAGGTTTTCATAGTGTAACCACTGGTCACGCCTTGGAGTCAAGGCAAAGTCCAGTTATCATTTATGTTTGACCAGCAAAATAAAAAATATAAAACTTTAATTTCATTACATACTTTAAATGTATACAGTGTCAAAGCAGTCCATGATCACATATTCCAGACGGCCCTGCTCTGTCACTTCCCTTCAGCCATTTGAATCCATTTCTGCACAAAGGGTGAGGCAGAACGATTCAGAGGTCTTATTCCTGAAGTTTGTATTTGGCTTTGACCGTGAAAATCTCTCGTCCTTTCCCACCAGAGTCTGTTCTGAGGAGTGGAAGGGATATAAAGGATGCTTCATGCAGGACAAAGGCTCTGTCTGGGCTTGGCCGACCACACTGAAAACACTGACATTTTGACTTTAATTCAATGTAATATGTCAACACATTTTACATAGCTGAAGTAGGTTAATTGAAAGCAATACTATTAAATTGAACGTAATATTTTGTATTAAAACGTAATAGTATTTCTTTTAACTAACCTAATTCCGTAATGTGAAATCTGTTGACATCATACATTTAATCAAAGTCCATGTTCAGTGTTCCTAGTGTATTGGGCAGTGTTTGACGCTCCATCCCTCCTACACAGTACTCTCCATCACCCAGTCAGCACTGTCTATTGTCCCCTTGCTCCCCCCCGTGTCCCCCTCCTCATCGCACTGCAGCAGCATGCCGTTCACAGACAGGCTCCTCTTAGTCCAGATGCTGCTGATCCTGCGGGGTTTGTTGCGCAGCTGAGCGGACGCGGCCCCCCCCGTCATGTCGCCCATGTCGAAGGACTGGCTCCTCTTTGGCCTGGAGTCCAGCGGGAGCATTAGGAGCCGGCTGAGGCTGGAGTCCAGGGTCCGGCCCAGCAGCGGCTCCCTGTCCGTGTGGGGCTTCCTTGTTGCCAGAGCAGCGCTACTGGAGGCCCCCAGGTCCCGGCCCTGCCCCCCCCTCAGCTCCAGCGAGTTGAACGCCCCGAGCAGGTTGTCCAGGTTGGTGCGGGGCTTGGGGTTAGCTGACCTCCAAATACTGGCGAGTGTGCTGTTGGGGCTGTATGAGCCCCCCGCCATGGAGCCCGAGGACGAGGAAGAGGAGGTGAGGCTGCTCTGAAGGGAGCCACACTTGAACTCCACCACTTCGTCCTGCAGAGTCACCTTGGCCTTGACCTTGGGCTCAGGATGAGGCTGAGGCAGCGGCATGAGAATTCCGTTTGGACCGATTCGACCCCCATTGGTTTGAGAGTGTGTGTCACTGAAACTTGACAGCTTGCCTAGGGGTGGGTCAGTATCTGTGGCTTTATAGCGCACCATGAGGATGACGATGAACACGAGCAGGGTGGCGACGATGATACCCCCTACCACCAGGATCATAGTGCCCCCCAGCAGCTGGCTGGGCAGGGACCGGCACTGGGCGTAGTCGTCCTGAGTGAGGAAGTCGGCGCAGCCCACAACATTGGTGGCCGTGAGTGTGGTGGCCGTGTCGTCCCAGGCGGCCAGCACACACAGGTCGTAGCGAGTCCCTGACATCAGATTCGTCACCAAGAAAGCCTTGCTGGATGCTGGGATCATCCTACAAAAAGGAGGAAAACAATTAAGACCTGCAGGTTAATTACCCGATTAAGATAAAGACTTCTTTCTCTTATAATAACCTTGCCCCGTATCTCGTTAATTGACATAGAGGCAGTCGTAAAAAGCTGGGAGTGATACAATAAATGCTATAATGGATTGAGCCTTCAGCATTTGAAAGAGCTACACATGTCATTTGAGTACATGTAGACTTAACTAACTGCTACAGAAGGTAATGCAAGCTCTATTCACTGTGCAGTTTCTCATTAATATAGGAATATATAGCATGGATCTCCATTTGCATTCCCTGGAGTTTCTCTACACTGCTAAGTCTGTACAGCTCTAACAGACAGCCAACAGTAATTGGCTTTATCCCTCAGAGCCATCTGTCTTGCTGCGCTGCACAGAGGGTCCATTTGATATTGGAGCTCTGGAGCAGTGATAAATAAATAAGTTGAAAAACTAGGAAAGGTATGAAGGACTGGAGAGTGGGCACACTTTGTCGTGCCAATACAGCAAGCGTTCAACTGTCCAAGGCGAGCTGTACGGCGGCCAGCGGCAGAGGGGCTACTGCAGTGGTCTCACACCTGCTGTTACAATGATATCACTCCTTCACTGCCATGCCAGATTCCCCTGCATGCATGGACCTGATGGTCTGAACTTCAGGGTGACTAGAGAACACACAATAGGGGTTTGTTGAGATTGTCTGGTGTGCCGAAGGAGTCCTGCACCCCATTTAGAAAGGATGGCAAAATTACAGACCTCCATTTCTAATACTTTTTTCTTCAGTGTAGCTATAAAGTTGATGACTTCTACATTGTTTCCGTGGCAACCAAGCAGATATGTGGGTGATTTCTGGACAATCTGATTTGATGACACAGGATGCAAAGCAACGATTAGCAGCGCCTTACTCACATGAGTTTTATTGAGGCATCATTTGTCTTTACTTGCGACACTCAAACTAGACCCACTGGGGAGGAGGCGGGGCTTATCTCCATGTTTATACCAACAACAACAAAATGAACATATTTTGCCAAGATTTCATTGTATCAAAATGATGCCGAATGATTACATACTGATAACGGTTAGTATAATTAATGCTTTGGCAAGTTTGCTTGAAGGACGGCAGGCAAAGAAAGAACATTTATGAGGATGACGATGAACACATGTTTTACCCTGGCTGATATTTCACTAAATGCACTGTTTCAATTGTTCCCTATTATGCCCCTATGCCCTGTAAGGTGTCCTTGGGTGCTATGAAAGGCGCCCCCCAAATGAAATGTATTATCATTATTATTATTATTATGTTATAGAGATTAGATCGATCATGCTAGGCTAATTTCTCTCGCAAGTTGAAAAACTGTGACTTGCAAGACTTGCAAGTCAGTCTAAAAGATCAGTTTGCTCATGGTGACTGGTTAATTCATCTCACATTTTCCCACCAAAAAGACATTTATCCGACACATATCAAGGATTGTAGAAGAGTTCAACTTCAGTGTTTTCCCTATGCCAATTAGTCACCACCGCTCCAACATAAAAAGCTGTTTTCCAATAAAAAAGTTCCACTTCTCAAACTTGTGCTACAGTTCATTACCCTATTATAATTGGCTGCCTGGGATTGGGAGTGAATTCTTTAGCCTGGTGATGCTTCCGCTGTTCGCTGCGTGCTCCTGTGTCTGGGTCTAATTGATTTCAGGTGTCTGCAAAGACTGCTAATTCATTTTAATTTATAGGAATAAATCCAAAGTCCAGAGAAACCTATGCCGTACTTATCACGGGGAGATAAAGTTTTTCCCGCCCCTTCAGGCTGCAAAAGGCAATTTGTCGAGTGGCCTGCTTAACTCCCGATGATGGCGGGAGGCCAAAGCATTAATCAGTATGAAAGCAGGGGAGAGGAAGAGGAGAGCGGGAGAGGAGACATAGGAGGAGATGGGCTCATGGCTTAGGCTTCTTTAAGCTTTCCAATAGTTTTTCGATTAATAACTCTACATATTTGTTCAGTTCAAAGAAACAGCTGACAACAAACAAATAACCATAACCCCAGACTGCAGTTTTTTACAACGAAAAATGAAACTTTCAGGATTATATACGCAAAGAATCGCTGAAATATTATTCATTCTCTACTAATTTCATAAGGCTGTTTTTTTTCTAGAGAAATACAGACAAGGTCATGCCAAATTGTCTCCTGCCCATTGATTCGGCCTAAACATCAGGGTGCTGCTGGGAAATTTGATTATGCTTATATAAGCAAAATCTTTAATGGCCTCTCTCTGGCTGCTCCTCACTCTGAGACTCGGCAGCTGCATTGATAATTAAATGGGCCGTGACATTTTTGTGTCTGTGCCTATATCCTTGAATATCTCCAGGTTGCAATAAAACATCCGCTCTATCTAACTGTAATGGATGGAGGCATTAGGAAAAGGAAGTTGTGATGAAAATGGGACCACTTTAGGTCTGTGGTTTGTGTTACAGTCTGTGCTTGATATACTGTAACTGACAACAGCATAGCTCATGTAAACATGAAGCCAACGCTGCAGGGAATATTTTATGATAAGCCCATATGTCATGAATATGAGAATGCAGCAGCTAGCATAAAAGGAAATGGTTACTGCCAGTACCATAACTTCAAAAACCAAGTAGTTGAAATGTGACTAAAGCTAAAGCTTTATTACATTGATGTTTGAATGAACTCTATTCATTGATTTTTGTAAGCCAACTTTGGACAGCAGTGTGAAAGCACTAATGTGTTAGCATAAAGTTGCTAATAACAGAACAGGCAGAATAAAAAATATTTAGGCCCATTCCCAAGCCGCCCCCTACACCATACCCCTCAGTTTGCGCGTTCAAGCGGAGGGTCCGCCATATTAAGTGCTGTTCCAAACCAACGAGTGTGGAGCGGTGGGCTATCAAGCCCTGAAACAGCGAGTCTGCATCGGTGCTGACTTGAGACCGGTCTCTACCATGGGTCTCTACCTGACCGGTCTCAACGCTGTGTGTGTTCGTCAGGAAACAAGCTGTTAACAAGTAGTTCCAGCAAACATCCACTGATAAACTGCGATGTTAACAACCTCATGGTAACCTCATGTGTTTTAACTTAGGATCATACCTGTGTTTAGTCTAGAAAAAGGTAAATGTGTGCATTGTATTATAAAGTTGTGTATATTTACAGACTGTTGCAAAAACTAAGAAGCTTATAAACATCAGGTTAAAAACTAAAAGAGCTTTACAAAAAAGTAACATAATTAAAGATTTTTGGAGTTTTATTCGAGTTATTCATTTACATTTTTTGTCAAAGAGATGCTGATTGGGGACATGGAGAAGAACATTTTTTTAAAAAAATTTTAAATAAATAAAAAATGTTTTTGCGAGATCTCGCAAAACTTTTCATTTAGCTCAATGCACTTTCTGGTCAGTTTGGCTGCTACGGCAACACAGAAACCACAACAATGGAGCGGTTCATCAATTTTACACTTTTTTTTTGTTCAAATAATTTTTCTTTCCTTCTCCATGTCCCCTAGGGCTCCGTAGATTTGAAACCGTTGTTACATACAGTTACGGCATTTCCTGTTTCTGCCGGAGAGAGGGGAGTTTGTCCCAAAGCTTGATGCTGTATTTACTCCCTCCATCTGACAGGAGGGAGCCTCGTTGAGCTGCGAGTGTGGCTACAGACGGAGTTCACTCCGTCAAGGAGGGGTAGGGTCGAGGGAGTGGTTTGGGATTGGGCCCTAGTGTGACGGCTGTCGCCTCTCCGGTTCTGTTAATCCTGTGTTGCTATCCTGTTATGTAAATGAGCTGTGTGGTTGCTTCAACGTGAGTGGCTACCAACTCCTGGTTCCGCCCCCGAAGATACTGATTGGAGCATGCCGACGCGCTCCAATCCCCCTGCCATCCCAGCGCACACCTGCCAGAGATGACGCTACAAAGCCTGGGGACAGCTATCACTCGGGAGGCTCTGTTGCACTCAGACGCCTCACACATCTTGCTGCTGCGTGGACACATCAGACTTAAAGAGCAACTTCCAGGTTAAAGACACCTGTGAATAAATGTGTAGGAAAATTATGAATACACTAGATTTTCAAAAAAATATACAGAAATATACACTACAGTGACATCTGGCGTCGTTTTTGTAAGACATTTTCACTTCCGTATAAAAGCCTCGGCACGTGAACTCCCGCGTGTGAGGTAACATGGGGGAAACAAGGGGGAGAGCGGCTGGTGTAACGTATGAATAAACATGGATCCCAATGCTAGTTTCGACACAGAAGAAGTTGAACATGAATATTCAAATGCATATGA